CCACAGGACGCCCAAGCTCGTGGCGCAAGCCATTTGCATGAACTGTTGGAGAGCTGTAACCCCCGCGAATAAAAGGATGTTTGGACCAATGGTAATAGACGTAGTCCGTGAATGAATCAGTAGCGGGGTGTAGGTTGGAGGCGGTTCTGTTGAAAAAAGGTTGAAAAAGGTAACAGAAATTTTAAGAGCTTTAAACAACTCATATCTCCTTGTTACCCTAACTTGGCTCATGATCCCTCAAAACTGAACCCTTCAATAAAAATGCCGACCGAGGTTTGACCCTTTCACTCTAGATATCACTTCCCTCAACTATATCTGCCGAGCATTTTTACAAGGTTAGCTGAGAAAATATGGCGTAACAAACAGTATTCCTTCACTGTGTACACTTTTCTTTCTTGTCATCACCTTTTTGCTTACACTGAGTATTTATTTTCTAAAAAGAAATTTCTCTTTATATCGTAAAATAGGTTTTGGTTAGTCATCGTGGTAAATAACACTTTCAAGAGAGAAACGTAATCGTTTGTCTCACGATGTGGTCACTTTAGATGTGGATCGCGACGTTTCAACTGCAAACTGCTGGTCTTCTTCAATCGACCTCATCGCCTAAAAAAGACTAGCAAACTTTGCGATCCACATCCACAGTGACCACGTTGTGACTCAAACGATTACATTTATCTTTAGAAAACTCCTCTTCGTTTACTTCAGTGCCAGGAGTGGAAAGGGTAATAGTTTTCATAATTATGGGTTAATCACTTTCATAGAATGAAAGTAAATGGTCCATCTGGCATTTTTGGATAGTGCAGTTCCTTTTCGATTTCAAAAAAATTAACCTTGTAAGTTACCACACGCTACTTTGGTTGTGGTTTAAATTTCCCATTTATCAAATACGAACACTTTATAAAGAGTGGTCTCGTAGATTTATTTAGCTATTCGCAATGTTTGTACAACATGGTGATCCGCAAAAGGCAAAAAATTGGTAATCAAAGTTATTATACATTCACAAACATTGTCTTCTGTACGACTTTTAAAATTCGTGCGCGGAATCTATGTGGAGAGAGTAAACGTTTTGACTGTCACCATCGAATTTGCCAATTATTCCAAATTCACTTTGAGCATACTTAGAATTTACTGATAGACTGGAATTGATGCACATTAACGTTTTATGCAAGGCCTCAACGAGACTTGCAATCAAAATTCAACTTAAACTGTGATGAACATTTCATATCTACATCCCGCAATGCTGAAGTTCCAGATATCTCAATATTTTCCAGTCTTAGTGTCTATTTCTTTTGAATAGTGGGGCACTTACCGAAAAATGTGATCGAGATCTTGGAGAAACCCATCTAAAACTTCCTGTTCGCTGAGGTTGATTTTCTCTTCTGCGGGCTCAGCCGTTTGGAAGCCCGCGATCAGGTGACACTTCTCAGCGCTCTTCATCGAGTCATATGTGTACATCCATATTTGGCTGACAAAGCCCCGTACTCTGTATATAAGGTTCAAGTTGTCTGGCCAGAATTGTGACTTGAAACGACAGACAATTTTCAGTGCCCCTCTCATTTCTATTCCGTCGATGGCTCTTTTTTTGCTCGCCGGCAACGGTGGAATGAAGTTTATATCACCATCTTTGAGAATTGTCAGTGGCACAGTAATAATTACATATTTGGCGGTTAATGTTTGACCGAGTTGATTTTTAAGCCAAATAAGTCCACCTGCTTTTGACTCGCCCTGTTTTTCTTTTTTATCTTTACCATTCTCACCTGCAAGTAAACAACGTTTAGCGAACAGAAATTACTCCTTCCGGCTTTGAAAAAAGAGTTACAAGGGATGGTGCATATTTGGTCTTGATCTTGAAATAACAAAATATGTTATTTGTCTTCACAAGCGAAGGACAAAGAAAACTTATTCCCTAGCAGGAGTCAGACCTCAGACCACTGAGCTGCAAAGACCCTAGGTTCATGTCCAACACCCGTCCTGCATACGGGGATCAGCAATGTTGAAAGCGTTTCGTGCGTAAATAGAATCAGAAAGATGATAAATTTTGAGCCTGGTCGAAAAATTAAGTGTCTTTCGTCTTGTCACGAGCAGGACGTAAACGAAAAAAAAAAACCTTAAAGCGATACCTTGAAGAACAGCTTTCGACTGAATGTCCAACACATTCTAGGATTGCATTGGTTTTGCTAACTTTTGCTCTATGATTACTTTAGAAAACACGTGCCATCCTCTCAACCAACCAGATGCAAAACTTAAACCACACGCGACTTGATCTTTCGCGGTTTTTCAGCGCTTTAATCAGTTTGCTCGCTTTTACTTTGAGTTCTCATCGGCTCTTTCTGGTATTGGCCGTTGGAAAAACTTTGGTTCTGAGTTTAACGACACTTGATAAAATTACATTCTACCACTAATATAAGCCCTTATGTTGGGCGAGTCCACGCAAAATTTAGTGATTTGCCAATTGGACGAATATCAAGAGAAATTTTGGTGACCTGGTAGGATAAGTTGTTGAGGAAATGACACAATTTTTCCTCCACCAGTGATCACTTTGGTCTCTCTTTGATTTGAGATGATTTCTTTTTTCTTGTTCGGACCAGTGGCAAGTGTTAAGTGACAAAGAATTATCAAAGGATTTTCTGATATATTAAAGGCACAAAAATGTTTTTAAAACAACTCTACCTTTCCAATTAACCTCTGTCACTTGCCAACAAAGCCGTTTCTCGACTTCAGAACACTTCTTCAGGAAATGTTCTACAAGCAGAGAGTAAGATCCCGCCAACCTGAAGAAAGTTTTTAAAGATAAAAATAAAATATCTCTGAAAAAGTACCGTGAAACATTCATGTGATAAAAACAAAAAAGAATTGATGTGTTCTTTTATCATTCTCTTAATGATCTGGGGTGTATCCTGAAATATTGACAAAGATGGGCAAAAGAATTGTGGTCAGAGATCGATTGTACTTCATTCAAACAACTAATCTTTTCATCTGTTTGAAATGGATTACAAACTTTTACCAAACATCCAACAAAGAAGTAAGGCAGGGCCAGTTCGGCTCGTATATTCAAATTCGTTTTTATCACTTCAACGAGTTTAAAAGGAACCAACGTAATGACCAGCTCCCAGTTGGCTTGTTAGCTCAGTTGGTAAAGCACTGCACCGGTATCGCAAAGGTCAAAGGTATAGTCAAATTCATTGGCAAGATCAAAATGAAAATATACAAACATAAAACAAAAAATGAAAAAAAAGAAAAGCCCAAAAGGGATGGGCACGAACGGGACACTCACACTCATGCGGGGTGCCTATGAATTATTTTAATTAATGAAGAATTATTTTATTTATTTATTTATTTATTTATTTATTCATGGAATTTTAGAAATGTAATTTTGAACTTCTTTTTTTACTTTTGATTTAATATTTATTGTAAGGCGCAGTTGAATATTTTTATAGAAACTGCGCGGTATAAATTTAAATTTAATAATAATAATAATAATGTCTACCCAAGGAAAATATAAGAAATTTAAATATGTACAAGTAGAAAAAAATAATAAAATCTAGTTTAGTAAGAGGAAAATCTAATTGTAAGAGAATCTAATTGTACAAAATTGTCATCTAAAAGTAGAGAAATCTAAAGGAAATGAAGAATAAAATATAAACAGATGTATATATGTATATTCAGTTAGTGACATGAACATTCACGAGAAATTAACCATCAGCAGACCATGTCCTCACCAAAGACATGCATTAAAAGAGACTTACAAAAGTTCTTCAAAAATGATCGAAAACAGCTAAGGAAGGTAAAACCACTAGGGAGGGCTTCATTGGATAAGTTGTTCCACAGATTTATAATTCGGACAAAATATGAGGCTTGCAAAGTGCTGGTCTTACAGGCCGGAAAGTTAAGGTAACAGCCAGCAGACTGACTACGGCGTTTACGATACGTAATCTGAGACGTCAATATCAATGTAGCCGGAAACAGCTATGTAAAAGAAAACGAGTTCCTTGATCTCTCTAACGCAAGCAAGAGGCAGCATATCCAAGGCGAGCAGTCCCTCCCCAGACGACATCTGGCCTGGCTTCAAACTTAAAATCCATCTGCTGGCACGTCTCTGAACTTGCTCAACCTTAACTTTTAGTGACATCTAAGCAGGAGACCAGGCTTTAGTAGCGTAACAAAGGCGGGGCTTCACAATCCCTAAGTACAAGGACCTTTTTACCACCACTTTAGTTAACAAGGGACAAGATCTCTTCAGCAGACCTAAAAGTTTATTTGCTTTTGCTGTAATTAGGTGTGCATTTGAGTTCCAGGTAAGTTTGTCCGAGATAACTACACCCAGATCTTTCTCCTCACGCGCGCGCCGTAACTTTTCAGGGCCTAGAAAATAGTCATGAAGTAAGGCCTTTTTCATGAGCGTTATAGTTAGAACTTTGCATTTAGAGGCATTGAATCGTATGTTATTATCGTGACTCCAGGAATGGAGGTTTGTCAGAGCTTGTTATAGTCGTTCACAATCGGGTTCAATGGGAACCAACATAATGACGGGTTTAATAGGAACCAACATAATTCACTGCACCGGTATCGCAAAGGTCATGGGTTCAAACCCCCTACGGGCCTGAATGTTTCTCAGGCCTTATTCTCACTAACCCACAAGTTGTATTGAGTACTGCGAGGATCGCTTTCATAAGGATTTTGAGTCGTTCGCATGGTTGATTTTCTACTCTGTTGCTTCGAGACGTTTTGTTTCGTTGCCGCTTTTCTTTCACAGAACATCCAAAAACTGTACAACCCCTAAATATTTTCGAAAATTAATTTTCCTTTAAAAAACTTTGGAAAATATGAAAATGTCTTCGACGACAACAAAATGCCTCGGTTTTAAATGCCGGCTCACCATTGTTTTCGCAAATTTCGCTAAATTTTACCTCGCACGCTTGAGCCCGCGTTATCGACCCCACACTTTTGACGTAACATTTCGTTATTCAGCTCTGTCTAACTAACTAGCTTCTATTGAAACCTCTGGTAACACACGGAAAGAGTTAAAACGATGGGTTTACGAAGGAGCCAGTAAAAAGGCTAGTTCACTGATTGCGCTTAAGATGGAATAAGACTTCTCTTAAGACCAATTAAAAAGCAACTTTTCCTTCTGGAGAAAATATGAATTCGAAACTAAAACTGTTGACCAGAAAATAAAAACTAACTGACCTGAAATTCCCATCACCATATGTCCAAGCATTTTCTTCCCGCGCACACTCATACAGACCCATCTGCCTGGGTGCCGCGGCAACTGTTTGACAATACATAGAATCAAACACTGCCATCACATCGTCATTACACTTCTGTCTCTCCAACCACTGCTGAATACTCATGTCTCTATAACACGAGAAAAAGCAATAAAGAAACAAGTACCCCTATAACTCTAAAATTCACCCTCAGTTGTCTTAAAGTGACGCATTAAAAATTGCATAAAATGAATAACACTCTGGTTGTGCAATTACCTACTAACTAGACTAGTAGACCGCCTGAATTGTAAGATAAAGTTATCAATGACATCAACTAAAAGTATATACTTTATGCTAGCATATTTCAGATAAGAATTAAACAAAAGGGAATTGTCTTTTTGTGTGTTTTGCTTCACCAACCACTTGCATTGCAGAAATTAGATTTTGCAGCCATCTCATCTCAGAGAGGAATAACCCTTGACAAAAATGGCTTAGGGACTTACTTAAAATCCTTGGCATCAACTCCAGGGTTCTGTATGCTGACAATTTCTGTTGCCCTTTCTAATTCTGCATGGGTAGAATTTGCCTTAGATTCTGAATCAGGTTTAACATGGTGACTCCCTGCACTTTTACCATTATCTTCACAGGAGGCGTTTTTGGCATTTTGACAGAGTTCACTTTTAGATATCTTGTCCCAAAGAAAAATGATATCATCCCAAGCTTTCCAGGCTTCCTGAATATCAGGATGGCTATTTAACAATGGATGAAATTCATCTTTGTAGAAAAACATGTATTCTTTCTCCATTCCCTCACATTTGTAGCACTGCAAAGTCAGCAAAATGGAAAGTTTCTCCAATCATCTCATCTGCTCTTTTATTGAGAGGGAAAGTAGTTATGGGGGAGGGGGGGGGGCACCATACTACACAGCCAATCAGAAAAGAGGATCATGTACCACCTGGTATTGCAAAAGTCAGTCAAACCCCCAAGATTGTTCACTCCCTTGATAAAAATTTCTTTCTGCCCCAGCCTTCTACCGCTTTAAAAGTCAAATATAGCAGCTATAATTTTTATCAAAAAAATACAGAGCACTTGCTTTCCAAAATTACACCAGCTCTACAGGCTACACACTTGTATGCACTAAAATGATTTGCTATTGTGGGAAGAAATTCCTTTTTGGTCACAACTGGAAGCAAAAGGGTTCGGGAGAAAAGATGTCTACATTAGGACTAGTATGTCTGATACTGTTGGGTCCTAGCCTCACAGTGAAAGAAAAAAATTGATAACATGCTTTACAACACTTCATTGATTAATTATGAATGCAGTTTATCGGTCACAAGTCCAGACCATTGATAATTCCATCAAAGAAAAAAAAATGGCATGTGTGCAAACAACGTTAACAATACCTTCCCTCAAGAAAAAATTATGTATCTTACTGGTTGCACAACCCAGCCATTTTCTTTCGCTGTCCTGGTTATAATACTATCTGATCCATGGATAAACTCTCCACCAAGATCAATTGGAGCAAATCCTTCAAATGGTTGAACTTGTTTCACTCTTCCACCTGACATGACAAGCAAAAAGGAGTTATTGAATAAATCAAAACTAAATTAGAAGATTATTAACATCTTTAATAAACTGTTCCACAAGAGGTATAGAATCCCTTTGTTAGATTTGTGGCATATGGCCGAAAAGGTGGACAAATTTCCCCTGATTTTAGGAGAAGATTTAGGAGAAGAGTGTTGAAACAGGAAGGCTAACAAGAAGATTTCAAAAAGGGATGAGGTAAAGTAGTGTGCACAATGACCTTATCTTTTTTGGCTTTACTACACACAACAAATCTCATGTCTGGTTGGTAATTGACAACTACTCAAAGCTATAAACTGAGTGCAATACAGGATTTTCAAATGGCCCTCTCTTGAAATTATATCTATTAAACAGTGCTAAAAATAAAAAAACAAAACAAAACAAAACAAAAAAAAAAAACATTGCAAGTAAGTAAGTAAGTAACTTTATTTAGCCACATATCGCATATGAGCGAATAGCTCGTTTAAATGCAAATGTGCCACAGTAAACAGGCCAGACCACATCACAGTAATCTCGTGATGTGGGTTCTTTAACGTCCCTTGCCGAAATTAACTAATTGATAGGTGCAGGAGACGGGACCTCCGGCTTTACGTCCTATCCGAGAAGACGAAGCAATGTGAGTGAAGCGTCTTGCTTAAGGACACAACGTCAAGCCCCAGCCAGGACTTGAACCCGGGCCATCTGACCCAGAGTCCAGCGCACTGACCACTGGACTACTCACGCCTCACAAAAGTTTAATTTGACCCATTCAAAGAAAAAAGAAGTATAATCCTAACAGTTCAATAGTGTTCCGAGTAATGCTTACAGAGGATGTGAAAAAGAAGAGTAAGTGATTTTGAAAAGGGTGGTATGAATTAAAGAAAAAATTGTGTAACCTCATGCAAAAAAAGATGTGGAGAAATTAACTATTTACCAAAGTAATCAGAAGCTTCCAATAAGATAACCTGAAGACCAGCCTCTGACAGAGCTGTTGCTGCAGCTAGCCCAGCCATTCCTCCGCCGACCACGGCAACTTGGGTATCAAGGTGAGGTGAAGCCACCTTCTCTTGAAAAAGAAATGAATGCACCATTGAATGGTGCTGAATCTGTACACCATTGAATCTGTACAGTACAGTACAGATGAATGCACAAAGGAAAAGCTGTAGAACTTAATTAGCTGTCAACAGGAGCCAATGATTCCTCTATTGGTTGTTTTTCATATGGAGTCCTAAAAGATGACTGATTTTTTAAGCTATAAAATGATAAGTGAGAGAGAAAAAACCAGGACCACTCAACTCCAAGTCCAGTGTGTTAACCCTTGAGCCATTTCATCTCCACTAAGATTCCAAGGCCTCAGTTTATAAACTTTTGTTTGTTTGTTTGTTTTTTGTTGTTGTTCTTATTTTGTTCTCTCGCTTTAAACTACATACCTTTCTACGTCTTGATTTAATAGATTTTTTAAGGTCAAAGTAACATAACTTTTAAAAGTCATTTCTCTACTGAAGAAATGAGGAAAGAAATTGTACAAAACCAACCTTCATAATCAGCAGCACTCATTCTGTCAACTGTCTTCTGACTGTGCTCCAAACAAAACTGCAGCATGGAAACCAGGAAACACTTGACATTCTTTCATTCAGTTAAGTAAAAGAGTTATTGTTGAACTCCTTGAAATCCATTCTTCTCTACGCTTTCCTGAATCATAAATTTACCATTTTAATAACTAATAAATAAATTATATGTTGAAGTTAAAGGTCTGAGATTTTGGTTCTTCACAAGAAAATAATAGTTTGCCTTCCACCCCCCCTCCTCGAGGGCTCGACACTAATTTTTCAACTTACTAGCCAAGTGGCCAGAGACATCTTAGATGTTTTTAGATCTTAGACTGAGGCGGGCTACCAATATAAAACCTGTATCTCAGAAGTAGATCCCCCTAAAAGTGCAGAGACAAGATCATGGGGAGACAACGACTAATACAGAATAACTGGGGCGGATCCAGGATTTAGTCAAGGGGGGTTCGGAGGGGGTTCAGAGAATTGTTCTCCTTCTGAGGGGTCCAAGATTTTGAAAATTAGGTCTTCGGAAATATGATTAGGTGTTCTGAAGGAAAATTTAAGGGGTTCGACTAAACCACCCGAACCACCCCTGGATCCGCCCCAGGAATAAGGACATGTTCTTTGAAACACTCCATAAAATGAAAAGGGAAATAGACTAACCCTAATCATTAGAGGTAGGTTATACAACACATAATTGAATGAAATAATTATCATGCACATCTGCTTAAAGTTAGATGAATCTGCTACACAAAACAGAAAGTCAGTCAACTTTACATCTAGCACGCACGTCCTTGTTTAGTCTGACTACGGAAAGACCCTCACCTCACCCCCTACCCCCTCCACATTAAAATGGAACTGAAACCAGTGTAATCTTCTCTATGAATTCGCAGGGCCTACCTTTGGCAGTTTCCCTCCTTAAACTAACATCATTTATTTCCTAGCTCTTGGTTCGTTTTGATGCAGTCTTCTTTTGGATAGCCCAACAGGTTGAAGCGATTTCTGAAAATTCTCTGATCACGTGTTCAGCCCTCTGATGAATATGCAATCAAAACAAACCCGATCAGCAGATTCTTCAAACTGACCATGCACTTCCCAGTCCCTCACCAACGCGTGTCCCTCTGTGTTGAAAAACATCTCCAATTTGCTTTTGTCGGCTAAATTTTTTTGTATAACCGATATTAACGCAATTTTTTTAATCAGCGACCAAGTACTATGTCTATGCGCCGAGCAAGTCACGCAGGAACCTGGTATTCTGACAATGGTACCGTAAAAGCGCGTAGACAAAAATGTTTTCTGTCTGATCTGAAAGCAAACTTTTAATATTTTCTATGGTGAAAATACCGGTGTTTTAAAATTACTTACATTTCTTGTCACTCTCGACACTTCTAGCCCGAACTCTTAATCAGAAGTTAGAAGAATGGTTATCTAAAGCTCACCCTTCGTGTCGACCAGCCAAAGCTATAATAGCACCGTAAGTATAGAATGAGATCATTCCGAAGTTCTTCTGAAACAGTTGATTGAAGAACGACCCTTTGTGAATTAAAAGTGATGTTTTTTTTTTTCTTTCATGAAGACATGCGGGTTATCAATACTGTGGTTCTTGTGGAGCTCATGCCTACAGACAAATCGATCCAAGTAAAATGTAAGTATACGGTGCTGTGTCGACCGTGGCCTTGTAAATAGTCTCGCGCTTTTTAAAGGCGGTGCATTATAGGGCAAAAAAATTATGTGAACAAAACTTGCATGAATATTCATGTTTACTCCTAAATTATGTACAGCAGGAAACAACAATATAAGCTTCAATAGACTTCCGTTCTCAACAGACATTCATATACTTGAGGTTGTTCATTCATTTAAAAGGCTAAGCGAGGTTGTAAGATTTTTGGTCCATGAATATTTTTTTCTCCATGAATTTTTTTTTCTCAGTCTCATTATGTACATAAAGTTCTCCTTACTGAGTTGCATACAAGCTTTTATGGGTAGCTTTGAGAATGTGAAAGTTGATCAATCGCTAAATATACACGCTGTACTATGACACAGTTAATTTGTTTTGTAGGCTTTTGACTTTCAAGTTTGAAAATGTCTTGTTTTAATTTATTATGAGAAATTGAGTGTTAGTCAGAAGAGGGAGTTGACAGCTGTGTTGCTATTATGAAATTGATTTAAGGGCCTGCTGCAATATGAAAATCTCACTGCACCAAATTCAAATCCACAAAATTAAAGCAGTGTACAGTTCATGAAAAGGGTGCAATGTATCTTTTTCATCCAGTCAGTTATCAAGAAAATAATTTCAAATTTATAGGTAACAATTTTATTAAGCATCAATAATTTACCAACTTGTTTAACTTTGTCTTTGTTGTTAATATCTCTCCACTGGCTTAGGAAAAAAATTAAGTAGTATCAAGTAAGAGTTTACTGTAGATATGTAAGTCACACCATGTTACAACATACAATTTGATCAGATTAAATATACAATTTTCCAAATTTAATGCTAAGGGGGGTAACCCTGCAATGGACTAGCGTCCCATCCAGGGGAGAGTAGAAATACTACAAGTCACTTCATGCTACAGAAACCGTAGTTAAGTGTACCGGCCTGATGGGCCATTGGCTCGTAAACAGACTTTACCCTAAATACAATTTCCCATGTACACAAAGAAGTCTTGTTGAAATTTTCAATGTAAACCATGGAAGAGTAGACTCCCTTTTGGACTGCTTGTGTTATATGTAATTAGCTGTTAAGAAAACCTTTTCATCGTGTGTTATTTTAATAAGTCTTAGGCATGTTGATATCAATTCAAAATGTTCTATGTTTGTGGTTATTGCCGCCTGTCGTTCCCCCTGTTATTAGATGGCCAATTTGTATTCAGTAATTTTTAAGTAACAGGTATAACTCTCTAGGACCTCAAATGAAACTAGTCTATTGATATTTTGATATCAAAGAGGGCTGTAAAAATTTAAATGAAAAGTATTTTACATCAATGTACTGTTTTTTTTTTGTTTTGTTTTTTTTAATACAACAAAGGATACACTTTAATTTTGGAGAGAGTGTTTGTCAGTGTTGCTTCAGTGTGGTGATAAAAATTCTTAATTAGAAGGCCCTGTTTTAGAGCACTGAATAGTGACAATATGTCTTTTTGGGAATCCATGGGCCTAAAAAGCTGCTTGTGTTCAAATCCCAAACTTGGTTAACATGAAAATTCTTCTTATAATGTGCAGGTGTAATAATGAGTAAGGTAATATATATAATAAATGTAATGATATAATGAGAATACTCAAACATATCAGATAGAAGTTGTCATCTTGATGTAACTCTAAATTCTGATAAAAAATTTATAAAGGAAATGTGTGGCAGCTCGAGAGGAGAATTGATGTTCAGATCTTGAGTGGCAACGGGTTAATATAGGAGTGGAAGCTCTCATGAGGATGTTCCCTCTAAATGCAAAGAAGGTGTACATAACTGGAACTGGTTCCTCTTAAGAATGGCTCTGCTCTTCAGTTGCTAGCAGGGCTCCAAGCTAGTTTTTTTTTAAAGTTGTCATTTGGTGGCCTGAAATACCTAAATTAAACGAGGCTTACCTGTAAGGTGAAGTTTGATTGGGATTCTGTGAGTCATTGGTCGGGAGCGAAGGAGTCATGTGAGAAGGCGCACGAGCCTGGGAAGATCAGTCTTTAACAGATGTGAGCACTTACACCCAGTCATGGGCGGGTTAATAACACATGGGTGGGCACATGACTCCTTCGCTCCCGACCAATGACTCACAGAATCCCAATCAAACTTCACCTTACAGGTAAGCCTCGTTTAATTTAGGTATTTCAGGCCACCAAATGACAACTTTAAAAAAAAACTAGCTTGGAGCCCTGCTAGCAACTGAAGAGCAGAGCCATTCTTAAGAGGAACCAGTTCCAGTTATGTAC